CGTTAGCGGGCGCACGGGAAAGAGCGGCGATGTCACGGGTCTCTCCTGGTCGATTAGCTGTGCGTTTTGACATTTCAGTGCTCCGCTAACCTTTGTGGTCTGTGATTGACAGGTTTTGGTCTCCACCCGTTGAAAGACAGGTGGGCGAGCGGTTGGTTTCTGAATTTAATCCGAAAAATATCTTACCTTGGGAATCGTAGGGAAGGGAGAATTTCACAGTGCTATACGTGCGACAGTAAGCTACAAATGTACGCATCATTAATGACACACTATGGACCCACTTGGCAAGAAAAGTGATTAAATTATTAATGAAATTGTACAATTCAAAGTAACTTAACTCAAAATGTAAAACGTCGAAAACAAATTTAAAGATCCTGAATAACATAATTGAATTTAATACGTTACTTCTGAAAAATTATTTTATTATATTTAAATATTTTAAAAAGTGTTGCTACTTTTAGTTTTTGCGTATTTTATAGTAATGCACATAAAACTCTAGTGATTTCAGGAAAGACTGCAAGCTATTTTTGTAAACTCCAGGAAGATATTTCACATATAATGTTTCACGATATATTTCGTAATTTCATTCAATTAATTATGACAAAGTAAAGGAGTTAAATAACACAAGAAATTATGTGGGAAAAGAAATAACATTTTAAATATATTTACGAACATAATTTTGAATTCTGAAATGTCACAAATCAGACATGATTCTAATATAAAGTTTGCATAAATAAGAAAACACGGTCTAAAAATTAATGACATCATGATCATACTTCATAAGTTGAATTCACATGGAGACTTCGGGTGAAGTAATAGGTCACACAATATTTTTGATATAGGAACTGAAATAAAACAATCTAGGAACGATGATAGAAATACGCCATGCTCGCCATGTATCTCCATTTTCGCTGGTGTGAATAATAAATAAAAACAGGGACCAAACTTGGAAACATCGCTAGTTGATTGATCTGATTTACCTGACCCTAAAATGCCAAGTACATACATACTGAAACAAACTAGTGAAGCTACAGAATGGCCCAGACTTTCCCGTAGTCGTTTTTTCTATTTTCTTTGGTTTCAGCTAGATATTCGGACTTCCCACATTCATTTGCTAGCTGCCATCTATCACAGCCAAAAGTACTTTTTTGATTTTCAGTTTCCTAATAGTAGAATCAAATCATTACTTTAAGAATATTAACAAAGAGTAAAATATAGTCCGATATGAAACTTTTCATTGAAAAATTTATAGCCGTTTTTAATAAAATGGTGTTTAAGCATTACTATAAAAATTAAATTTGAAACTTTTCTTCATAGAAAAACTATTGAGTTTTCGTAAAACCTGCATATAAAGTCACTTCAAGAACTTCTAGTCTCAAATAATTGTTTACAAATTTCTGGAAATGTGCATATTAAAGGGGTGAGAGATGTTAAAAAAATATTTTTGTGTAATTTTTGACAAAACAAAAGAATACATAAATATAAACTATATGTCATATTAAACAGTACAGTTAGCACTATCTGTTGGAAAATGTCTTAAATTGTTTTCTTAAATTCGCATTCACAGTATCGTTTAAACACCATTTTCTTTAAAGCAGCTTCAAATGTTTGAATGAAAAGTTTCATTTATGATTAGATTTTGCTCTTCTTTAATAGTTTTAAAGTTTAAATAATTCAATTCTACTATAGGGTACCTAAAAATTAAGAAAGTTATAAAAAACGTACTTTCGGCGGTGATAGATGGCAGCTGGCAAGATAATGTGGCAAATCCCAATACCTAGCCGAGGTCAAAGGAAAAAGAAAACCAATACGGGAAAATGTCTGCTAGCTGCTTCGTCAATCACCAGGTAATCAACGGAAAAGCTACGCAAAACTACCGCTCAGAGCAGCCGGACGCTAGAATTCTTCTCCACACGGCGATTGAATTCGACGCAGATATCTAGCTAGTGTCGCAAATTCTGCCACCGCCGAGACTTGAACAACGTTCTTGCCAGCCAGAGGCACTGCAGTGACATCAGTTGATGCTCTGAGCCGGTCCCGGTTTTGTCGTCGGTTATTGGATGACATATTAGGGCTCGTAGCGCAAGAGGCTGACGACCTTCCAAGGAAGATTGACGATTGATTGATTGCTAGTGATTACGGGCACGTAAACTTCTAAGGTCATTAGTCGCTGAAGTGTAGTGCATGATTTTCCCGACGAGAATGCGCGGTGATCTTCCCCCGCTGAATGATGACTTTCGACGCAGACCTACCTCCAAATCAGCTTGTTTCTGGTTTTTTCCCAAACAGGTAACAAGCTCCAACCGGAATAAGCTCTGAGCTCCTGACTTGTCACCCGTTGTGTGATAGTGTGCAGCACGTATGTGTGTGTGTGAATAAGGGGGAGTATAGGAGAAAGAAGAAGGAATAATCGCGCGAGGTTTGTGGCCTGTTTGTTAGGGTACTACTCCGGCATTCACTTGGTATTGATGGGAGAAACCACGGAAAACTACCGATGAGAGCACCCGGCCGCTAAACTTCTTCTCCAGATAGCGACATAATTCTACTCAGTTGTCAAGGTAATGTGGAAAATCCTACCATCGTTGGGACTCGAACCTATGATCTCCCGGCCAGAGGCTGGCAATTGGATCGAGTACATTTCTCGTTGTAGGCAAACTATAATACCGTTGTGGGTTATTGGATGACACATTAGATGTCGCAGCGCAGGCAGCTGACGACCTCCCAAGGATGATGGACGATGTGAAACGCCTATCGAAAAGAGGGCAACGCCAATTGAGGCGATGACACGCGCCACCTGACGAAGGCGCGAACAGATGGACTGCGTTTCACAGCGCGCCGCTCAATGATAAATGAGGCAATGAAAGCTGCATCTGTCGAAACGCTTGGGCCTTTGAGGCCACGGGCAAATGGGTCATCACATTTCAAGTGGTCCAGGATTAAAATTTAGTAAGCTGGTCGCCTCATCGCCTAAGAAAACTAGTGGTGCTACAACAGCGCATTCTTTCACGCACTATTTCTATATTTCGAAAACTTACATGAATTAATGAAAATCAGACCCACGCTATTATTTTAAGTGTCCCTTATTCTATCCGTGGAAAAAAATTGATGAAGAAATTTGGTGCGTTTTTTATATAAATTGAATTTATGCAAAATTCAAATCACGTAAGTAAAAAGTATTCGTTTTGTTTCAAAAAAAACTATACATAACCTTGTTTAAAGAGCTGGCACTTTGTCTACTTTCAGAAGACACTTTGTCTAAGGGAAAATCTCCAACTTCAATTTTGAAGTTCTAAAATGTTAAATTTCCGAAGTAGAGTGTTTGGCAAAAATGAGGCTAACACTAAATTGTTGCCGTTCTTTTAAATGTTCGAGGAAAACATTTTTAAAAAATTGTTGACATTTTAGAGAAAAAATGTTTAAAATATTTTTTAATTGTCTATGTATCGTGACATGAATGACGATATAGGCGAGAAACGAGTTAATCAGAAGTTGGAGCGATCGTATTGTCCGCCCAATTAGGCTATCCGCAAGCTGAAGTGAAAGAGATGTTTCACAAGGTATTATTAGTGCATTTTTACTATTATATTCTGTTGCAGCAGGCAGCAATGTGTATTGACAAGTGTACACACTTCTTCTAAACCCTATCTAACCTCTCTAGTTTCTTTTTTCATTCAACGTAAGGAAGGGAACTTTACGTTCTTTTATAAACAGAAAGCTAATCAACCGACATCAATACAGTGGAACTTCAACTCCCGACTAGTAGACACTTTACAATATCAACGGCAAATTTTAATAATATTCTTAACACATCTGAAAACTCCAGAAATAATTATGATTGGGAATTCTCAATATTGGTGAAAGAACAAGATTTTCTTTACCTTTGAGCCAATTGTATTCTGTCATCCTCCTTGAAACACTCTCAATAATTTATGGACATAGTGATGTTTTTTCAATATATTATAAGACAAATATATGGATATTGGATTCTGATATTCTAAATTACTACAAACTATGGAATGTTTGGATGAACTCAAAGTATTTGGAAATATATTTCTTCTGAAGGTATGTATTAACATGCATGAATAAAAAGGATAAATAGAAAATCAAGTCACGTTCAGAAGAATTTCCAATGAAGTTTGGTACAATTTATTCAATCAGATAATTAAATTTTCGATTTTGAAAGTTCCAGTTTTATTGCCGCTCTTGACACCTGAAAATTACCACTTGGGGTGCGGTGACTTCCTCTTCCAGATACCCCCGTCAGTGGAAAAACTTGACAAGCTCTGATCTCCCGACAAGGGTCGGAGAGTTATGTCTGTAAGTGTAAGTGTATGTGTAGTGACAGATAAAGGGGCCTTACGTTTCCATACAGACAACTACCGATCAGAGGAGCCGGCCGATCGAATTCGCTTCCCTACAGAGGATAATTTTAACCTACCTATAAAGTTAGTGACACAATTCGAACGGCCGGCTACTCTGATCGGTGGTTGTCAGTAGTTTCTCCGATCAATACCAAACGAATGGTAGAGCCATCTTTCCTCATTCTTGCTCCTTTCTCTCTCCCTACACATACACTTACACTTACAGACAATACTCTCCCAGCCTTGTCGGGAGACCAGAGCTTGTCAAGGTGTTCCAGTGACGGGGGCTTTTGGAGGAGGAAGTCACCGCACCCCACGTGGTAATTTTCAAGTGTCCAGAGGGACAATGAAACTGGAACTTCCAAAATCGGAAAATTTAATTATCTGATTCTATCTCGTATCAGCAAGTATACAGCAATAGAGTTCCCAGAGCTACATTGGACGGCGAGAAACATTAAAGAAAATCGCAGCCTCGAGATCGAATGTGTATTTACCGGATGCTCTCCGTCCTCGAGCGGGATATCCAGTCCCTGCTGCTCACTGTGTTGCGGCGCTCGCCCCCCACCGCCCGGCTCTCCCTCCAGCGCTCCAGGCGGTGGCGCAGGGTGTTCTGCACCTCCGTGTTCAGGAAGCAGTAGAACAGCGCCACCGTGAACCCCTGCACACAACAAAATACACTCACACACAAACAATATCTTACACCAACGCATCATGCACTGTGAGAGGGTGTTTTACATCTCCATAGTCACGAAACATTAGGGTAGCGCCTCTGTGAAACCCCGCGCACAACACAATCCTGTCACACACAATATCTTCCGCCAGCAATTCATGCGATGCCGCAGACTGTATTCACCGCCATGTGTAGGAAACAATGAAACAGCACCACCGTAAATCCTTGCACGTAACACAATCCTGTCACATACAATATCTTCCACCAGTAACTCATGAGATGCCGCAGGGTATTCTGCACCTCCATGTGCAGGAAACATTGGAACAGTGCCATCGTAAGCCTTTGCACACAACACAATTCGCTAAAAAGCAATATCTCCCGCTAGCGACTCATGCTATGCCAAAGAGTGTTCTGCACCTTCGTGCCGGGAACCCTTGCACAGAACACAAACTACTCACATACAACGCCACCCTGCAGCAACTCAGAGGATGCAAATGGGTGTTCTGAATTGTCGAGTTTATTTTATCTGAAGAAAAAATTAGGGTACAGCAGGTCACAACAAAACACATTCACAAAAAAGAGACTACACCATTTTTCTATTCCGTATGGAACATGCCACTCTTGCAGAGCGTGCTAGAATGCGTGCCCTCGCCTGTAGAGAGAGGAGCAGCGCACAAGTATTGCGGAAGATGTCGGCCGCACACAAAGACTCTCACACATGCAATACAACATACTATCAACACTAATGCAATCACACAATACATTGGACGAGTTGTGGAGATCATTGATATTTTCTATCTTCCTAAGGAACTAGTGCACCCTCCATAGCGTAAAAGTGGACGTGTCCTCATTTGTAGGCCGACGACCATCACACGCGTGTTGTGAAGATGGTAGGAATATTCCATCCTCCTAGAGAACCTGTGACACCTGCAGAGCTTCCTAGTGAGCGCGCTCTCACCTGCAGGCCGATTGGCAGTGCACACGCGTGACAAAAGACGTGGGTCGCACAATTATACTCGCATTGACCATTGGACGTGTTGGGGATATCACTGAAAGATTCCATTGTCCTATGGACCTGTGCACCCTGCATAGCGTGCTAGTTGGCGTGTCCTCACCTGCAGGCCGACGAGCAGCGCACGCGTGTTGCGGAAAACGTCGCCGGCCACGCCCTCCATGGGGCCCTGCATCATGAGGATGTAGGTGATGCCCAGCAGCGGGAACAGCACCAGCAGCGCCTTCGTCGCCTTGCGGTACTGCTTTGTTTCTGGGGTGTTAGCCGACCTCAGCTTTGTTATCAGCACCTTTCAAAGAATGAAATAAATTTTGCTTATATTCTGTTGAAATTCTCTTCTCCGTGATTATTATATCATTCTTAATAATTTGTTTTCTGTTAAATCAACTAGTTTTATAGGAGATAATGTTATGAAAGACAATTTTCAAATCCTAGCTGATGTGGGCATCTACGACTTAATAACATTATAAACTTAAATAATAAAATTAATTCTACTTAGGGTATTCGTATTTCGTCTACGTGTCACATTCATTGGGACTGTTACTGAAAAGAAAGAGCTCACTTATGGTCTCATAGTAGGTCTTTAATTACACGTAAACGATATTGTTCCATTGCGTTCATTTTCACATTCATAACTGATGAAAAATCATTCAGCACTTTCTATCAAACACTCGTATATTGTAAACAGTCAATACTGGCTTTTTAAAATTATGAACGAGGATAATGTTTTAATTTCAACGCCGTCTTTTTCTATTTCATTTGTATCAACACAAAATGTATACTTCAAATTTATCTTCAAAAGACGTAATAATCTGTGGATTTTAAAGATTGTTTGGTGTGTGCAACTCTCGTGGTGTCACTGAAATCCGCCACTGACGAAAGATGGCATTTGATGAAGTCGTTGCGAAAATTCACTATAATAATTTCAAGCAAAATTTCATAAAAGAGCTAAAAATTTCATTGAAAACTTTTTATTTATTCTTGACTTATTATAACATTACTAAATATTTGTTTAATTTTATGAAAAACACAGGGTATAATTTTGAATTGTGATGAACAAACGTGACGTAATATAATCGAAATGTTTGTAAAACAAACATTGTTACACCATAGATGTTAATTCATTTGTAAGAACGTTTTTGTTTTACAAATATTAAAAGATTTTGATTATCTCTTATCAGGGAGGTGACGAAACGTTGTGTTTTTAACTATTTCTTCACTAAATAAAAAAGCGCTTTGAATACTAACATTTTGATATTTGTTCTACTATTTGACACGTATGTGGTTTTTGGTGTATGTTTGTATGTGGTTTGGCACGTATGTGGTTGTGGTCCATTTACAATTATAACAAACACGTCATTTCGCCCAGAAATTGTTACATTTGAATTCCAGTCTTTTGTACTTACAACGCATTTCACAATGTACGGTTCTACTTTTGTAGGGAACAGGTAAATGGTTGTTAGTCGCATTGGTCGTAGCTCTTCATCCCAACGCCTCCAAATGCGCCCGCAATGCCGTGCTCCGAACGGAGCGCTCCAGCTCGGGCGCGACTCGCGAGCGTCGCTGGGAGCCCAACGGCGCACAATGAGCATCGGCGAGGCGGAAGGGGGACTCGAGGCGGAGTCGCCCGCCGACCGATCGCGCCCTTCAGCCGCCGAGGATTGTGTCGATTCAGCGCCGCGCGAATCGCTGCCTCCGCGCGGGAGCCCGAGCAGCGCCGCGCCGCCCCGCGCCGCTTGGAACGCACTCAGCAAGAAACGATGCGGATCCTCGATTCTCGAAACGGGCGGCCCTCGCCGCAGCCCTTTCTCTACCCCCCTCCCTTCGTGAGACCGCCAGTGCCAGATCGCTCTCTCTCCCCCACGCCTCCTCGCCGTCTCCGCTCTGTTGTAAAACAAACTTCTTATTGTCACTTTGATAAAGATACATTGTACGTACAGAACGGAAAGTAAAACAACTCACCATCAACAACACCATCTCTAAGTAACCATTTGTATTTGTAATACGTATTTATTAATTGAGAGATTCCATATTGTAAATAAACATAAGTCGCTCTCCCTCCCGCGACGCCTGACACCTCATCGTCCTCATCTCCCCCCCCCCGCGACGCCCTCGCCAAGCCCTCTACCTCCTCTTCGTGCCATCTCCAGTGCCTCATCGCTCTACTTACCCCGCGCCGCCCACGCCTCCTCGCCTTCTCCGCTCTGTTGTGATACACACTTCTTATTGTCACTTTCATAAAGATGCATTCAAGATGAGAAAAGATGCAAACAACTCACATTGCTAGACTTATTCTCATATATAACTACAATGCAATATTTAGGGAACCATTTATATTTGTACTTCATGTTTCATAATTGCACGGTTCCATATCGTATATAAACATAAGACGCTCAGATGCTTCCCCTTCTTCGCCACCCCACACCTCATTGCCCTGACCCCCC